TAACAGCTCATTTTTCATAAAAACGGCCCACGACACCACTTCAGTTATAATCTGTATGTACAATAAAACTATACTTATCGTTAACAAAAAAGCATTACCTATTTATAAAAATATTTATACTATTATTACAAAGTAAGACCAGTGATACAGTAATATTAATTGAAAAATACATTTTCAATGAAATATATAGTTTCTATTATTACATCTAACTGTTACAGTCATTTGATCAATATTTTTTACTAGTTCCCGGTTAAAAGAGGTTTCATATTAAAAAAAATAGTATTATAATCACACTTTTATGTCTCCTGAAAAATTAATTTTCTTTTTTACGTCTCATTGACGCTATGACACATAACACTTGGGTATATTTATTTAGTTGAATACAAAAGTCATAATACAGTGAGTTTCGCTTAATGTGATTTAGGGTGATAATTAATGTGATCACATTAAGCAAAACTCACTGTGTGTGATATACTACAGATATGCAAGGCGCTGACTAGTCCAAAATTTAATTAATTTCTACTATAGCGTCTAAGGGCCGATTTCACCAACACAGTTAATCACGGTTAACGCTTAATCGGCTGATAACAGATATTTAACCGGCCAAATTCGGCCGATTAAAACTCCGGTTAACTTTAATCATGATTAATTGTGTTGGTGAAATCCAACAGCCTAAGAGGACTTAACTTAATTGACAATCTTTAATATCAATACCATAACATAATTTAGGGACAACATACTTATAAAAATTATTTTGCATTTAATTTGACTTGAGTGAGCAGGTCAGCGGCAGCAAGAGCATAGCTTGCTGTGCAATGAATTTCAATATAGCGACAATAGTGCTTTGATTACTGGTAAGGAAACCTGCAACAAGGAATTATTTTTTCATTATTCTCTACACTCACAACTGAAGCTGATAGCTGTACACCGTCTATCGAACTTTTATGATGTACATTGATACAAATTTAATAACATGACAATATAATATATAGACATCAAACATGAAAAAACTTACTCCTTTAAACTCTTCATCGGATTAATCGCTTTAATTATGGCCCACTCGTTAAGAGGGTTATTTTCTGGTTTTCTACATTTTAGCACCAATTACTGCTTACAAATCTATCCTTTCAATATCCGAGTTCAGATTTTTCATTTCTTATTCACCTAAAAATAAATATAGATATATAGATCTATTAGAATATTGAGTTTGAGTACCTTTATGATTTCCCATGAAAACAAAATTATATATTCTTCTTTAATTCTTGAATGTGGTCAATATGAACTGTTTGTTTTTTAGCACCAATAAAACATTCCAGATTCTTGTTGTGACTTGTGAAGCTCTTACATGAAATTTCCAAAGCATATTCCTCATATTACTCGAATATTCTATTGTAAACAAAAAAAATGAATTGTTATATTCTCTATATAGCAATAACATTAAATAAGACTGTACATTTTTTTAAAAGTCCAGTTAAGTGTCGGCTTACGTTAACTGTATGATAACAGATTTTAATTTCGCCGGTGACTTATCCATTAACTTTCAGCAAATATTGTAAGAACGGCCCTAAAACTATTATAGTATTAAACCATTTTGAATAAAACTTACTTTTGAACATAATTTTGTTTATCCACAGAGAACTCATGTCAGAGTGACAGAGTTGCTATATTCGTTTAATAAATTACAATTAATAATACTTCACTTTCCGTTACTTGTTGGACGTTTGGACTTATATTTACTTGGATTATATTATATCTATATTATATTATATCTTACGAATCATTAATTATTTGTCGTGTTTATGGTATGATAACAGATAATTCCAATTCAAACTTTCGTGAGATTTTAGCGCTCCTAGTGGTGTTTTTTTGTTAGGGCTATCAACCTTTGTTGTATATTTTGTTATTTCTTTTTGTTACGCTGAGTAATGAACTTAGTCGCAGGTGGTCGCAGCCCGCAGGTCGCAACGATAGCGACTCATCCTCCACATTGTGTGATCGTTTGAAAAATTATGTTTTTTCCTTATCACACTACCATCTTACATAATGGGCTTGACTGCTTGAGACATAGATAATATTTTATTATATTGGATGGGCCAAGATGGACTGATTAGTTGTAAACACTCACAAAAGGTGGATTAATAAATCTACTTATTAGTTGATTTAAAATATTTTAATATGCAGAATTTAAGCAAAACACAAAAAATTACCACCGTACTCCTTAAAAACTTTATATAAAACTAGCTGATCCCGTTCACTTCGTTGCTCTTTAAATGTACCAACTCTATATGACTCAAACTTTGTTTGTCGGAGTGATTAATGTATTCGTTTTACACTGATGTGTTTTTTTTTTTGCTGATTTTTGATATATTGTTATAATAACTAATAATAAAAAAAGGTACCTACTATAATAAAAATAAAATATATAATATATATGGATACTTTTTACCTTTTTTTATAAAATATGTTATTAGACGACAACTATATTGCCTGCAAAAGTGCGAATTGCAACAATAATAAAATAATAATAATAATACATAATATGTAATACCATAGTCAGCATTTGAGGGGGCACGATGCCCTCCTCTTAAGTTAAATATTATCTAAACAATTTTTGGTTTTTTTTGAAATATTTATGTTAAAATTACTTTTGTACAATTATATAAGAAAATTATTCCTCATGTTAAGTCAGATCAATATTACCATAAATTAATATAAAAACATATTCAAGAGTAACTATGAATTTAGAACGCTTAAGCAATTTATCAATGCTGTACATAATAGGAATATATAATTGATTTTCATGTTATAAGCAAGGCTGGGCAAGTTAATGATTTTTTTTAACTCAGTTAAGTTGATATGCATCGAGAACAGAAAGTTAAAAGTTTAAAGTTAATTTAACTATAGATTAACTCAGTTAAGTTAAAAGTTAATATACACTTTTTGTTAACTTTTTATTAAGTTCAAAAAAGTTAATTTGTTTATACAAGGCTAGAATACTGAATTTTTTTAAAGCCCAAAACTAAATTATAGACGTTGTAGTGTTTAAACTTTATACAGTATTTCCGTATAATTTAGATTCCAATGATATACATTTTTAACTTAAAAAAATTCAAGGTAAATATTTTTTGACATGAAAATTGAAAACAAAATAGACTGAAATAGTGAAATATAGTAAAATTAAAAACAAAATAAATTAACTTAACTTACTTCTTAAAATAAAAATTAACTCGTTAATTTCACGTTAATTAAAAAATAAATTTAGTAAGTTAACAGTTAAGTTAATGAAAAGCCAAAAGTAACTAGTTAAGTTAAAAATTTAAAATGAAATTAACTTTTTAACTTAACTTTAACTTTTTAACTCGTTAATGCCCAGCCTTGGTTATAAGTGATAGATTTGATTCAGAAGCAAAAGTAAGAGGTTGACCTTTATCAATAAAATAAATACCTAACTGGCTTATAAATTAGTTTTATAATAAAAAATTGATTATATTCTTTAGAACTTAAATATATGTATCTGTTTTCACCAAAATATAAGTATACCTGTACCTATAATTAATTATTTAAGAAGAATATTTTTATTATTTTTTGAGGGAATTTTTTTTCTGTGAACTTGTAATTCTTGATATTGATTATGTTATCAACGATCACTTGAACCGTAATTTGTATTTGTATAATCATACAATATATAAAATACAAATTCATGTATGAATTTTCGGAATTATACCAAACACTATTAAATATTAATTACTTTATTGTCTTTGTGAAGAACCAGTCGTTATTTTTTATCAATAGCATTAAGTTTTGTTTTTTTAAAGGGTAGTTATACATGACTTGAAATTTAGGAAGCCTAAACGAAACCTACGTGTAAGAGACTTAGATGGTCTTCAGGACAATGAAAATGAAGAAATGATGGATGTGGATACAGTACTGAAAATGCCAAAACCACTAAAAGAAATGACAATAAAGAAAGTTAACACTTTAAGTTATGGTGATGAGTTAAATGAATGTGAGTATACTTTGAATTAACTATTAAATATTGTTATTAATCATGGAGTAATAACTGTATTTCTTAAGGTGATGATGGAAAAGTATTTAAAGTTAAAAAATCATAGTTATGATAAAAAAATGAAAAAGCAAACATATAAAGAAAAAATGGGTAGAGATAAAGTAGAAAATGGCAAAAAATCAAAAGCTATTGCTGATACAATGAAACCTATGTCAATGAAAAAACAAAAAAAGTTAACCTAATTCATTGTTAAATAAGGTATATCAAATTCATAATTTTGTTTTATATTTTATTTGTTTAATATGTTTAGTCTGAACCTGTTCAAACGGAAATAATGCTAACAGGCCGAGCTGCTGGCTGGATCAGATGAAGAAATTGAACTATACAGTTCTTCATCTCATAGATTTTCTAATCTTGACCAAGTTAAAATAAAATCATATATTATAAAAGGTAAGAATTTATATATTATTAAAAACTGTTTGTTTGTGGATTATTAAAATTTTTAAGTATAAATTTAAAATATGTAACACTAAATTAAATAAATTAAGATAAAAGATAAACTCTAGTAACTTGTTTTGTGTTCTAATTATTGTTAAAATATGAAAGAAATGTAATTATTAAGGGGCCTGGGGCCGGTTTTTCATATTTTTATCAAAAAAAAGCTTAGAATCCTGTTTTTTTTTAAGGCATTGGGTATAAAGTTTGAGATTAAAATATTAAAAAACGTAGTGAAGAATATTACCCTTAAATTTGGTTGATTCTACAGAACAGAATCATTATTATCGTAGAGTGTATTTTTGTGGACAAGTGTTTACACTTAAGTAAAAAAACTTCTTTTGTGAATTTGAGTTAAATGTTTAAAACTGTAAATTAATACTTTGTGTTAAGTATGATATAAATATTTGCACTATACTACTATGTACTTTTGCCAACTAAGTCAAATGATTTTTAATAGATTCCTTATCTTGTGGGATTGGAACAACGTATATCAAAGATGTATGAAAAAAGACGTACAGATTTGTTAACCAGGCGTAGACAAGATGTTCTAAACCAATCAGAAGAATCTTCAATAAATAGTAATTACTAATTAATATTATTTAAATGTTAAAGTTCAAAATTTAAACCTTCAAACAGAATTAATAACTCCAAAACACACACAATCAGAACAACAGCAAAGAAGATCTGCAGAGCACGAAGATCGTCATATCAGAATTATGATAATGAGAGAAATAAAAGCAATAAGTTTACATGCAGATGGAATGTCTAGCGATGAAGAAGTTCCTGAAACAGATACGTTAGCATTTAGAAATCAATTAGGTACAAATAAATTTATAAATTATGCTGGACTCATTAATTATTGTAACAAATATTAATAACATTTAAAGATATTTGAATTTAATATGTGATTTTTTTGTGTATAGAGATTATTAAAAGTGACTCAAACCTGTTATTGGACGATGTTCTTGAGGAATTTGCATCAGTTGATTTAATGTTAAAATATATGCTAGAATGGATAAACAAGTACTTGGAAAGCTATATTGAAGCTTAGGTAAATTTGTGTTTAGTCAAGTTAGTGGAACCTTTTGTTCGTATAGAAATGCTTACATGGAGTCCATTGGAGGTATATCTTTTAGAACTATAATATATGAACTTCAAGTTTTACAATTGCAATCATACAGTTAAATTATTTATATCAAATATTTGTTTTACATTCCCATAAAAAATGTGGCACAAACATTTTTTTTAATAACAAGATGGATCATCTATGTAAGCCATATTGTTCAAGAAAAACTTGAGAACAATATTGATTTTTGTATACATTTTAAATATATATTTAAATGTTCCAATACGTCTTACACATGAAATAATATATATTATTTTAATTAAATTGATCAAATTCCGTTTAATATTGGTTTTACTGTATTATCTTTACAACCCATAATATTATATATTTTATTGATTTTATAACGATTATATACATTTTGATAGAAATTAAACCATCCTATTTTAACGACTGTTTATACATTTTATGTATAATTCTTATAGGATTATCTGATGTTGGAAGATATGTTTTAGTATAAAAGTATGCAAAAGTATCCGATGAAAGGAAATAATAATATCGATCGGTTGATAAAAGATGTTGATTTAGAATTAATCCCCACAATAATAGAAAAAGTTGTACTCATTAAAATTGATCGTATGTATGCTTCCAAACAAAAAAATTTGAATTTAAAAAAAATTATTTCTTTTTAATTTATAGCAATGGTTATGAGTCAGTGGGATTTATTGTCATCAAAACAAACCAAACATATCTTTAGTATTGTTAAGCATATATTGGACATGTACCCAACTATAAATTGATCCAGATAGTAAATTATTGATGATGTTGATAACCAATATAGTGGATAGAACACCAGATGTGGTTGATTATGATGTGTTTATTCCAATGCCCTCTAGACAGTGAGTTAATTTAAACATTTATAAAGTCTATGTTTTAAAAATAATTTTTCTTTCAGAGTAATGAATACTGATAGTATGAATGTATTTTTCAAAGACAGTTTAACATGGCTGTAAAATTACTGCGCAATATACTGAGTTGGCATCGAATTATTGAAGACGTTGTGTTAATAAATTTAGCTATAAATCAAATACTTAACAGATAATTGTTAACATCTGTCCGAATGTTACAGCCACTAGAAGCTATTTTGACAATTACAATGGTACATTTTTATTAACTTTTAAAAGACATATTACATTTAAATCATTGAAAATGTCAAAACGTTTTTAGGTTGCTCGTATGTTACTTCATGGTTGTTGTATGGAAACACTACCCCCAATGAATTAACGCCATTTTTAAACCAGTCGAAATTAGTTCCAATGGTAATAGATAAGTCACAACCACAGGTCAAATATGTTGAAATATTTGTTATTTGCATATCTCATGTTAATTATTTATTAATATTATTCAAATACAACAATTTTTTTGTTTTTTTTTTTTTTTTATTAGGCTGGCCCTGGATAATTTCAATGAAGTTCTCAGACTATGACATTGCATTCTGATACACTCCATTGGTATATTATCATTCTTAGTAACTAATGTACTATAGAAATAGAAATATTAAAATTATAATACATTATACATACTTGTATTATCGTGTTTATTACACCTAGTAACATTTTTATTTATACTATTAATAAAAATAATTTTCTGCTGTTGAAAAAGGTTGTTTCTCATGGCTAACTTATTTTCCATTTAAAATGTAATTTTTCTGTATTTTCTGTGTATTTATATTGTTTGTAAAGTGTGAACATAGTCTAATGCATTAAACAGAGTTTATAAGTAATTTTGTAAATTTTCAATAGTTTTTCAGAATTAATGTAAAATTCCAGAATAAAATTTACATATTTCCTAATCCAGCACTGTAATCTGTACATGATTTATAATTTTAAATTCTGGACAGAACAATGAATTTATTGATTTTACAATGATGTATATATTTTTTATAATATTTATATATTATAAAAATAACTTAGAAACTCTTTTTATTATATTTTTTTTAATGGTCTGGTTGTAAATGGTGTATTTGCCTTTTGGTTGTGGACAAACTAGGGATCAAAGCATTAATATAATAATTGTTATGAAAATGTCTCTTAAATTAGAATCTATTAAACACATTTTGTATCACATGTCTGCCATTATATTTTTGTTTTTTTTTTTAATAACAGATAATAGTCATCAGTATGAATTTAAAATTTAAAACAAAGTTTCACATTAATAGTCCATGCAGTAACCAAACTATTTAAAAAATATATACACCGATTTTTATAGATATTTTAAATTCAAATTTGGACGAAATTAGATATTTAAACAAAGAATAATGGTTATTGTTGTGATTTAAAATTATTATTTGAATATAAATAAAAAATGCAATGGTAAAACATTTATAATACATAATTATAATATAATTTTTGGTTAGGTACCTAATTAAGAAAATAGTATGTTATCATTATTCTAGACTTCTTAGTTCTTATTTTCTTTCTGGATCTAACAGTGAGTTTTTATAACAACCAATTTATATTCATAAATAAAGTAAAATATTTAATAACTTTATATTCTAGGGTAAAGGATATAGGCTACGATAAAATAAACTAGTACAATAATTAATATGAATTGTATATAAAATATAAATATTCACAATATATTGTTTTAAAATATAGGTACCTACTTCGCGCATACCTAAGGTGTTGCCCGGCGCATAGTACATGCAATATAACTACAAATATTTTAAACTTGGTTTGGTGAAAACTGAAAAGAAGCCAGCATTTGGATTGTACTGGATCACTTATTTCTAGAAATCGCGGACCCCTTCACTACATTTTTTTCGAATGAATACCTTTTTTTTTTACAATACATCTCATGTTATCATAACCAATATTATAATAGTTATTTTATATAACAATAATTGAATAAGTAGACATAACGAAACATACACATTTATGATTATTTTATTACAATTAATTTTTTATAAAAATGCAATAAAAAACCATAATTGAGTACGATCGATCAACTGCACTTAGTGACAGTAAATATAATACCTACTGCCGAGACTACAGTGCCTGCTATACGCATGTATGAACAAGAAAAACTGATGATACTTAATAAATATTAATAATAAAATTATTATTTGGTGTAGAATCTACATATTATTATAATACTATATGAAAAAAAAAAATAATAATAATCCAACAATATTATAATAATGCATTCATGTCACTTATTGACGTACCTATGTTATGTGTTAAAGTTGCAGCGGACTCCCGACATGAGTATCGCGGTTGTTGTAAAAACTCACTGTAGTTTTTATAACAACCAATTTATATTAAAGTAAATATTATAATAATCATAAATAAAGTAAAATATTTAATAACTTTATATTCTAGGGTAAAGGGTATAGGTTACGATAAAATAAACTAATACAATAATTAATATGAGGTGTACATAAAATATAAATATTCACAATAGGTATATTATTTTAAATACTTCACGCATAGGTACCTAAGGTGTTTGCCCGGCGCGGCGGCGCATAGTACATGCAATATAAGTACATATATTTTAAACTTGGTGTGGTGAAAACTGAAGACAGAATTTGGATTGTACTGGATCACTTATTTGATACATTGCGCTTTTGAGAATAAAAATATTTGTATTTACTTAATTTACATAACCCACTCAACAGATTGTTAATGGCGATAAATATTTATTTTATATTATCTTTTAAGACTGAAAGAGAATTTAAGGCGATAAGAATTGTACCTATCGATTATTATAGACAAAAAACATGGAGAAAATATTAAATGTCTATACCTAAATAGCTCAAAAAGAGGTAGGTAATATATTTTTAAATTTATATTTATTTAATTCATATTTGGTAAAAATGTCAAGTATCTATAAAAATACCAAGAATAAATCAATTTAATATACAGGTTACGTCTTACGTAATACTTGTTGTAGGCAATACACTGAAATTAGATAAACTCGTCTATTTTTAGAACTCAGTGTAGGTACCTATTTGAAATGTCTTCGTCGTCGTATTATACAAATATAAAATATACGTATACAAAAAATTTTTGAAAATAAGAAAAATACTATTCAAATAGGTACTGCCGATGCCAAATTTCCGATAACTTTGACCAATATAGTGTCAAATTTGCCGACTACATATTAAAAAATCATGAGGGTAGACACCTCCACACTCCCCTCAAAGAAAGGCTCTCGCCAAATTTTATTGATTTTCGTCGTATTTGTTTCCTTCGCAAACGGCGTAGTGATATATTATAACATTTTAATCGATGAAATGTCTATTTTAATCGATTTTAATATTTGTGACGTGGATGGTAGGTAGGCATATCATATAAGGATACTTTTTCCTACAAATATTATGAAGACATGAATTATTTGAATATTGAATTGTATTTATTAAATATTCTATCATATTCAGAATACTTTTATTGAAGTACCTAGGTAACTACAGAAGAACTACCTTTCTGAGAAGCTAAATGTTTTTTTTATAATAAAATTGGATACATATTATAAATTGAATAAAATAATAAGTATAATGATACGATGTACAATAGTTATACGAATAACGATGCGTAATATAAATTAACGACTGACTGTAAGCGACGGCTAAAACATCACAGGACAATAATACAATTAATATATGATTTTATCTTGGCAAACAAATATTCATGGCTGAGACACGATTGTGCACACTTTCCCTACTTGACCCGAATAAATTACAACATGATTAGCCCACAATCCCTTTTTACCTGTTGAAAGCACAATACGATGGAGCACTAAAATCTAAATAGAGCTAGTAAATTATATTTAGTATATTATACACATTATATAATGTACTAAATATAATTCACTAGCTGTCCCGCCTGACGTTGTCTAGGCCAAAATTTGTATTTTAATAAATATATTTGTACAAAATGTATACACCACATTTATTCTACCATTTAGATTGACAAAAAAAAATTATTTTTTCGTATGCTAAAAAAAAATCATGTATGAGCAACCCTTTACCTATCTACAGCCTAGAAAAACATTTATTTTTTGTATATATAGACATAGATTGTTATTATTTTCGGCCACCCAATTAATTTCACCCAAGAAAATTCTAATACATTACAACTTTACCGTTGACTCCACCGATTTATTAGTGAAAACCGTATTAAAATAAGTATAGTTCTTTTCGAGGTATCAAAGATTCGTATTTACAAAAAAAGGGTAGTGTTTCTCTTCATCTATATTATGCATGTTTTATACATATAAACTTTTCTCTTGAATTACTCTATCAATTAAAAAAAAAACGCATCAAAATTTCGTAGTTTTAAAGATCCAAGCATACAGAGAGAAAAAGGGACTTTGTTTTATAATAATATGTTAAGATATTATACAAAATAAAAATAATTTTACAGGTAAAATACGAATATACGATTGAGAACGGCATTTTTGATAACACGATTGAGAACGCTCGATATTTTATTTTTTTTCCAACTTTGCCAAATTTAATCGAATGATAATTTGTTGATATAGAATTAGCAATATATTATGTCAATGTAGATATAACTGTAGATATATGACAATTTCACTGAATATTTATATTAGCATCTCCTATACACCATACAATTTTGAAAATATTTTGACTCTTTTTGAGCTGTTTACGGACATTTTCAGTTTCCAATTTTTTTAGTTTTTTATTCTATAAATATCAATGAAGTTTTATCTGTTGGGCCAAAAAGTGTAAAAATTTAATACAAGGCTCCTGATATATTGTTACAATATCAGTTAAAAA